AAAATATCAAGTGAATCAGTTCAATAGAACTCGAAAAATCGTGGACATCGTTATTGAAAAAAAAGTTTTGAGTAAAATGCGCTTTAAAGTTTTGCAAACAAAAGGAAGATTACCAAAAATCCTCTTGTACACATATCGTACAATTTTTGCGATGATTTATGCATTTGAAAATACGAAACAAAAGAAAACATTTTTTTTTGATTTTCTACACACTAGAATGCACTTTTAATGTTAAAATAAAGCTATAAGGCATGTACTATAGTCATTATGCTCAAATATGTAATATGTATGTGTGTATTTATTAAAATATTTTTTCTATATACACGTACCGCTGCAAAATTAAATCATAATACTAAAACATTGAATATAGTACGAAGAACGAGAAACGAAGCTCATTTTCTGTAAATATACTATTTTCCTTTAAAATAACCAAACCTGAAGCCAATAATCGTGATTTGCTATAAATGTTTTCATCACTTTCTATACTAATAATATTATACATATAAAATACTAGCACATGGTATATAAAATCGATATTTCGAGTAACCGCGCGCTTGCGCACGCTAATTTAAATTTGTTTTATGTCGTTATATCGGAAAATATGAAACAATAAAAATACCACGAACAAACATTTATCAGAGAAAGGTTTCTTTTATAAATGTCGAATCGATTTTTATTATAATTTTATAAGTAGATACTTTGAACAACGATAAAAATATCCCATAAACGGAAATATGGGAACAGCAGAATATAAACACTGATATCAGAAACAAAATAGTATAATCTATAATATGATAAATTTTATGTAGAAAACTGATAAATTCTAAGAAGATTTATTGTTAATTTATTAATTTATTTAATTGATAAGGTTTCAGGAAGTTTAAATATATAAGAAAATTTATAGGAATGTTTCTAAATTGCATATATATAATTTACACTCGGACACCAACATTGATCTGGTAATAAGTACACTAAGAAATAATTCTTACCCTACAAACATAATTAACTAAGTAACAATAACAGACGCAATTACCTTTTCAACAAACAATACGACCTCACCGACCATAAAAACGGTTTGGACCTCGAATCACATACTGGTGTTATTTGTTTACCGTATGTAAAAGATTTGTATATTTCGTGGAGAAAGCTGTTTCAACAATGTGGCCTTTTGTTGGTCTGTAACTGCGATGAAACCCTTAGTTCTATATTTACACAAATTAAATCTAAGTTAAATTCTGACCGCCTCAGGAACTCAGTATATCAGATTAATTGCTCTAATTGCGAACTTTTTTATATCGGGGAAACTAGCCAAAACCTGAGTATACATAAAAATAACTCAAAAAATGCCAACAATTAAAGACCCAAAATTTCTGCATTTTGAAAAGAACGTAATTAAAAGAAGATTCACTGAGGGATTAGTTTGCAATTGCATATATATAATTATTATATATATATATATATATATATATATGTATATATATGTGAGTGTGTGTGTGTGTCTGTCTATGTGTCTGCGTGTGTATTTGCAAGTATATACTAATTCCCATAATTAAATAATGCAATTTTCTTTGAGTAACATGTTTTCACAAAGCACAGATAAATGATATTACGCTTTGGAACTTAATTGAATCTTAAAATTCGTCAATGTCGTTGATATATCGATAAAGTTTAAAATATCGTCGTCAGAAAAGCACGAACGAATCAAATTGAAGTGTTTTATAAAAGTTAAAATAATTAGTTATTTTATTAAACTCTAATCATGCATAATATTTAGAATTATTATGCATGATTGGTGTTGGTGTTTAATGTTGATTCGCGAAAATCCGTATAGAATTTTATTGCCCAAGAATTATACGAAACAAAAATAGTATTTCAACAAAAAGTATGTGGAACTAAAACATACAAAGAATAATTTTTGATTACAAGTTAAAACACAGAACAAAATGTTTATTTTTTCAATTCTTAAGATCTCAAGCTCATTAAAGTGAAAGCATATAAGCACTTAAGTATGAAATTTTTTTAATGTAAAAGACCTTAATTGAAAGTGTATAAGATAAACAAGAAATGGTGCAAAGATCCTCCGTGCCATCGATTGCAACAATCATCTTAGTATTGTAAAGGATAAAAAAAACAATTTGAAGAAATTATCATTTCAGTATTTATGGTCTGCGTCCGGATGCTAATTGCTTGGACAATTCAGTTATCATAAAAATTACTTGTTCCCAAGAGATAGTTTTTAATATGAACGAATATAAATATAAACATATTATTTAAAAAAGTTCTAAAATACATATGTATAGATAAATTCAATAAAAGAGCTATTAAGTACATTTAGATTAAGTATATTATATAAGTATATTTTATATTAATTAATTATAATATTTTTACCCATACAATTTCTATTTTAATTGTAGAGCATTTAATAATTATTTCATTCAGTTATATTCATATGTACAGCACATTTAGAACAGAAATTTTGATATAGTGTTTCAAAACACTACAAAGTTTATTAATACAATTTATATATTGATATATAACATTGTCGATAATGATTGACACAAAAAGTATTACCGATAAACTTATTTTTCATTATTTTTTTTAACATATATCTTTTATAACAAGCAAATAGTGTATGTTCCAATATATCATCTAATCAAACAAATTAGTATTAATAAGTTTATCACAGTCTAAATATTTCTCTTTAAATAAAGTAAAATTAATTATATATAATTCATTAAGATTATGTGGTACTCACATCAACCTGCTCACAAAACTGAGTTATCGCTATGAAATCATCAATATCGTTGTCATTCAAATTTCTTTTTAATATTTCTAATATATTTTCTATTTCAGCTTCTTTAGTTAAATTTGCAATTTGTAAACTAATTTGTATTTCACCTATGTACGCTTCATAATATGTCCAAGAATCATTTGCAAGTTCCAATAATTCTGATAGTGAAGGTTGCAAAGAATTCCCATTGTAAGGATGCTATTTTCTGGAAAATCATAATCTTTCACTGATTGCTCAAACTCATTGAATTTATTTCTTAGTTCCGCTGTTGATTTTTCTAATGTTGACCTAAAAATCATACAATAATACAATAATTAAGTATAAATATAATATAAATATAAATATAATATGATATAAATAAATCAGAATATATAATTATATATTTATTATTATATTATAATATAATACATATATTTTAAACCAAATAGAAATAAGAAAAATATAAATTAATGCTTAAAGTTAATAAAAGTGAAATTGAAGAGGTAGACAATATAAAATATCTAAGACTCATAATTAATCAAAAATTAACTTGGACAGACCACATAAATAGAATGAAAAGATAGTCGCACTAACAGGAGCACTGAAAAGAATACACTACTTTAGAACAAAATAATATCATGTATGGAATTGCACCATAAACCCACAAAAAATATAGAAAACATTCAGAGAATAATAAATAAAGTGACAAAAATAACCTATAATCTCCACTATTCCATACCTGCTAAAAAAGTTCAATATGTAACAGATAACCTACCAATAAATGAAATTATTAGAATAGAAAAGTGCAAAATAATACATAAGATTAAACATAACAAAATTGTGACATGCACATAGATAATTATAAATAAGGAATATGCAAGCACAATGCAAGACAACAGGAAAATTTTCATCTAAAACAAACAAGAACAAATAAAACCAGGCGGAACAGTATATGGCGTGATATGAAATTATTGAATGGGCTTCCGAAAGAGATAAAGATGACCAAAAAAGAGAATAAATTTAAAATTAAGTTTAAATAATATTATAAAGAAACTCTAGATAAATAAATTAGACCAATGTATTAATGTAAAAATAAATAAACTTATATTGAATTATAGAATAAATGATATAAATGTTGTAATGACCATATTATATATATATATATATATATATATATATATATAATAATGACATACATAAAATAAATATATACTATTGTATAGATATTTTGTATGATCTCTCATACTGGACACTTCCACCTGTCTAAGATAAAAATTAAATTAAATTAAAAAAATTAAATAAGAAATAATCAGAACTTTTATATGAGCAACCCCATGCTTGAATTATGTTGCAACAATTCCAGAGAAAACAGTTAAATTAAATTAAGTGATTAAAGTTACCATTTAAGTGAATATCAAGACCTTTTTAAAAACAATCTTCAGTATAAAATAAAAATTGCATACATTGCACAATCCCACAAATAATAAACTAATTGAATGAAATCTATGAGCAAAATAAGACAGTATTCAAAATGTAACAAATTAATTGTGGCAATTAAAACTTCTTACAATTAAAAGTCGATATATCACCATATACTTGTAATAGTTAATATTGTATTTTAAGTGGAATTAATGTAAGATTGTACTACCATTTAGCATCTACTACTAATATAACTACTAATATGTCAAAAAACTTACGTTAACTTCTGAACAGAACACACTAAATCATTTATTTCCAATAACAGAGAATATATCAATCGCTTTCTTAAATGATTTTCATCTTCATTTACACTCTGTACAGCCCTAAAAATTGAATCAAATTTACACACTATATTTGTAATTTATATTCACAAAATATTATTACTTTTTCATTAAAGCTAAATGACGACATTTTGCAAGTGTACGATTTAGAGTTGAAGTGCAACTTTCATTAACACTTTTGCTAAGTTGGTTATGCTTAGCTAAATACTTAAAATAAGCAACCACACATTTTTGTACATTTTGCTCCATAATAATTTCAATATTTAGGAAACGGTTTAAATTATCTGCTTCAATTATTTTAGTAGGTTGCTTTTCGTTTGCACAAACTTAACCTCCAAATAACATTTTGACAACTGTTGAATTTGAAACGTGTGAAGACATACGCAAATATCGGCGCACAGTGATGCAAACATAAAAGAAAAAAACGGAAAATTTCAAATTGGGATAATTAAATCTTACAAACACATTGTTAGGAATCAAGTACACGAATTTGTAGATAAATAAACATTTTTAACAAAAGTTATTTATTCATTGTAAGTTTCTATCCGAAAAAATAACATTTTTCTTGTTTTCCATGTTATGAAATATGTTTTTTGACGATGAGATTGATTATTTCGTTGAGGAACCATATAACCAGAGAAAAACCAGATTCTGGACCATATAAACCTATATTTAATTCGGCTGAATGTTACACCTTTTTAACTTCCAATGAAGTAATTTATTGTAATCGTCCAAAAATCCAAATTAAAAATGTTTTGAATATCAAAAATAATTCGGATTTTAATATTAATTCTAGCTAAAATACTTGAAATAAATAATTTTAACTTTGGAATTCAATTTAGACTTAGAAATATTAGAAATTTGAGATAAGATTCTTCACCAGCCGTGAAGTGTATCCTCAGTCGACAGTACTCACTTAGGATACAGTCGACAGTACTCACTTAAAATAAATGTTTTGATGTAGTATAATATGAAATACAGTTTATTATTATAATTTATTAAACATTTTTGTACATAAAGTCTGTCCTTTATTTACAAATCATAATCTTTATTAAATATATATAAATATTCATTTTGTATATTGTATTTCAAGAACTCACAAAATAAACATTTGCTGATGCCCAGGCTAAGTTTTAACAATATTTTATCACAATGTGGTTTGATTGCACAACTTTTTACAAAACTAAGAAGACATTTCAAATTTTGTCTTTTGGTTTTAGTAAACGGTATGACTTTGATATGACTATGTCAAGAATAGAGAAGACCAGTTTGTCTTCTCAAATTTCTGCAGAACAATAGTATATGCAATCATACAATAATAATTAAACATTATAATCTAAATAATAGTAACTAAATTTAGAAAATTTAAAGTTGAGCAGAAACGTTTTGATTATATATTAGAAATTAAAAAATAAACATCAAATGAAAAATAAAAATCTTACAATTATAATACATTGATCACTTAACAATTAATGGAAATAAAATTAACTATGCTACCGTTTTGAATTCTTTGAAACATTTGCCACACATGTGACTTACATATAAGCAATGCCATATACTCCAAATATTTTCTTCAACATGGTAATACACAATATAATTTCAACTCAACATATCTTAAAACTCTATAATTTATATTAATGGATTCTTAGCATCATTGCTAAAAAATATTTATTAATTTTTGGCATAAAGACATGAATTCACACATTTTATAGTTAATTACATATATGCTATTTAAAAATAGCAACCATAAAAAATTGGAAAACCTTTCCAGGAAGGTTTTATTGCCAATTTATATAAAAGGTATAAGTAAATAAATCACATTATTGTTAATCTAAGTATTATTATAAAAAAGCCAGTGGAATGTGAAGCGACTTTTTATGACTACAAAAATATATCTTTATTTTGTTTTTTTTCTTTTATTTTTCTCTTAATTCTCTTAACTTTTATGACATATATTGATCTTCACATCTGCATATATATAAATTTAGAAAATAACTTCAATAACATCGAATAACTGAGCACAAGATGCAAAAGACAGCACAAATAAAAAAATAAATCCACAATTTATAACAAAAAATTATTTCATAAATTTTTATAAATAATAATTATAAATCTAAATTGGCTTAATAGCTCTTTCATTATGTGCAAGCAGGAGACCTCCAACCAAGCTTATCACTGCTCTATCTATCCAGGTAACGGGATTGGGGTATATGAGACCCCCTTCAAAGAATCCTAGATGACCTCCATGAGAAAGTTCTACGTAGATCATTCTTCTAGAAGAACCTAAATAATAAAAATGAAATATAAAATATGAATTACAATTAGGTACATCTTATAGTAGCAAATGATGGATTTTAGTAAGCAAAATTAATAACTCACCAGCAATTTTTCTTATAGGGTCTAGAAGCGTATCATGGAGTAGAGGATCATCTTTAGCATTTATGAACACCATTGGAGTTTCAATGTCCTGGATGTAGTTTATGCAGGAACTCCATTTGTACAAAGCGTTTACAGATGGAAACTTGTGAACTTTTCTATAAATAAAATACTAACATTGGTATTGCATTCATCAAACAAAATTAATTAAAACTAGATGTAAGAAGCATTTTGCGTTAAGAAAAGTTGCATAAACGCCCTAGTATATGTAAAATTTACACATACCACGGAGTTTATGTATTTTTATTTAAACTGTAAATAATATTTTATATAAATGCGCCCTCTAATATAATTTATATGAATATAAAGATGAGTTTAACATAAATATATATTTAGATGTAAATATAAATATAACTAGTTGAAAGTGGCATTTAGTCTTAAGGCAAGTTGAATGAACTTCCCGAAATGTGTAAGAATTGACTTAATCAATCAACTTAATCATACTAAAATTGTAATATTTTAGTATGATCTATAAGACTATGGTATCTACCGTCAAAAAAAAAATCATAAAAATCGCCGAAAAAAAAATTTAACACTTTATTACAAGAAAACGGGCCGGCCGATCTTTACCAAAAATTAATCAGCACGATTCCCAACCAATATCTTTCGAACGGTTTTTGAATTTTCAAAATCGATTCAGAATTGCGGGCTAAAACGTGGGTAAAAAATTTCCACTTTTCTACTAGTAAATTATATACAAAGAAACGGCTTGGCCGATCGTCGCGCAAAATTGATAAACGCTAGTCCTCATCGAGATACATCGAATGGTTTCTAAATTTTTGAAATCGGTCCAGCCGTTTTGAGAAAACGTCGATTTACGGCAAAAAATCTGTTCCCATACACACACACATACTATTTCCAAATTTGGTCTCATTCGATTCAGAATGGCTTGAAACACAGAGAAAACATAAAATTAGCGAATTGGATTTTTATGGAAACAAAATTCTTCTTCGGGAAGTTAAAAATATAGGACATAGATGGTGTGTATCTTAAAGGCTTTAATGAATTTTTATATTGAAACCACTTATTGTATAATAATAATAGTTTAGTATGTTCATTTGGACCAAAAATTAAATAGCTGGATTCTTAACAGATATCTTTCAAAGAGATTTTGGATTTTCAAAATCGATTCAGGGAGTTTGAGAAAACCGTAGACAAAACTTTGCACTAAAATAAATGTTTTTCAAATTTTGGTCTGTTAAATGTTCGTAGTGTGAAATGATAGAATAAAAAATTATACAAAAAATTGTGACTAGTTATCATATGTTATAAATCTTGGATTCATTTATTACCGCATTGTGCTGAAACTTAGCTCATGTTTCTCTCAGTTATGCTGAATATATAGTACCAATAGAGAAATTCATAGAGATGATTTGTTTAATATTCCAGTAGCTACATTCAAATATCATTTGCAATTAATTTATATTCATACCTCGTATAGGCGTCATCCAATTCCGGCAAAGTGGCTGCCGATGCTATATCTCTCTCATTCAATTGGCATTTTAATTTCATTTCATCGGACAGGAGAATATGTCTGTGTTTCAAAATTATTGTCTTCACACTTTCTGTTAAAACATACAAGTAGAAACGACGGAAATTTTGCCAATTCAGTAGCCATTTCGTACCCCTAAAATAAAAAAAATAATTATAAATATAAAAAATGACTTATTATGCATAATCTAAATTGTAAATTGACATATTACATAATGCAAATTAACATAATACATAATGCAATTTGCGATAGTGCATGTATGTAATATGTTAAATGTTTGTTTAAAATTTATATATTAACAAAAATTACAGATTTGATTATTTTACAATATAATTAACATATTACAAAACGCAAATTAACAAAGAATATACTTAATGCTACTTGTGATTATGCAATTATGTAATATGTAAAATATTTTTTACAAATATATATATATATATATATATATATATAATAAAAAATAATAGATATGTTTATTTTACAATATATTGCAAATTATATATGCTAGTGACTATGCAATACTTTTGCTTTAAGACAATTTGCTGGATCTTCCCGATTTTTAAATAATTATTTTAAAAAAATAAGCTACAAATAAAAATGTTAAGCAAATTCGTAACAATCAATTCAATCAATTTTCAAATAAAATTGAAATATTGTATTCTATTTGAAAGTTTTAGAAATCGTTATTGGTCTACATTGAAACCCAATGTCGCGAATATCTTTTATCGTTAAAAATGATCGATCAATCAATGGTTATATTAATATTTTAATAAAAAACTGAAGTGTTTGTTTATATATATTGGTATGAAGATTTTAGCAAAATTAAATGCAAAGTTTGTTTTAATAAACAGAACATCTCTAGAAAAGTTTACTGGGAAAAGTCTCAATATAGTGCTTCATATAATATTTTATTATGAGTCTTTATAAATCAATAATATAAATTATAGATTAATATCAAAATCAAAATAATTATTTTAAAAAAATATAATTTTTAAAATATTATATTTTTCTATCAAGGAAAGAAATATTGCTCATTAGAATCTGATATAAATGATAATTTAAATCTTATGTATATATTTTAGTATGATTTAGAAGACCATGATATCAATCGCCAAATAAAATTGATGAAATTCGCAGAAAGAAAAATTTTCAAAAGTTGATTACAAGAACATACGTGCCCGCGAACCTTTAATGTACATTTAATTAGGAAAATATCTCAGATAAATTAGATAGAAAATAGATAAATAATATAATATAATATAATATAACAAGAAATTAAATTTATATTTAAAATAAATATAGAAAATAGTTTACTAATAAGTACTCATATAATTAAAAAAATGCAATTATTTATATTATATTTAAAAACTAAGATTATTAAATAATATTGAATAAATC